GCCTGGGAGGGGGAGCAGAGGCATCACAGGGCTGCCACAGGAGGCAGAACCCAGGAGACCAGCGACAGGAGGACCATGGCTCATGCCCAGCACAGGGTGGGCTGCGGGGAATGGAGCGATCCCTGTAAACCTGTCAGCGGGGTAAACACCAGGGACAGGAAGAGCTATTTCAGCTAAAAGACAGCGTTAGCACAGGAATGACTGTGGGGGATTAATTATCCATGAATACAATCAAGGTGGAAATTAGACCCCCAGAGCAGGGAGGTCCCAGCACTGCCCCTCCAGAGAAGGAAGTAGTGCCAGGCAGGAGCCAGTCCCTCAGCAGCATGTGCCCTCTTCTAGTGTCAAAAAGCATCAAGGGTGGCTGGTGCAGCCTGCCTGGCTGCTGTCCTGGCTGCTGTGCAGGTGGGTGCAGTGAGCAGAAGTGTGCAGGGCAGCATGCACAGTGGGGTGCATGCACATCACAGCATGCACAGGTGAGTGCAGCTGTGTGTGTGTGTGCGTGGACTGGGCACACATTTAGGCAGCCCACTGGGTGCTCACACACCACGTATGTACAGAGAGAGTCTGTGCAGATAGGGCGATTGCACACAGACTGTTGCATGTGTGCATGTAGGTGCATGTGAGTGTGCTGACTGTGTGCGTGCTGTGCACCCACAAGGCTGTGTGCAGGTGTCTCGACCTTTGCAATCCTCTTGAAAGAGGAATGACAGCTCCACTGAGGAATCTTGGAGGTTAGTGCCTGGAGTCAGCACTGCTCTGCTCACCTGCACCCAGTTTGTGTTGCAACATCTGGTATTTGCTTGAGGGGACAGACTGGGTGCTGCATGAACCCAGCTAATCTTGGGCAGTTTTCTGTCCTGATGAGGGTCCCCCAGCTCCTAGAGCAGTTCTGTCCCTGTGAGGCCCATGGGACTCACACGGCACTGCCCCCTCCCAGCTAGCTCATCCTGGCTTGCAAGAGCACTTGACACTGTCGACAAACAGCCCTGTGCCACCCCTTTGCTCCCTGCAAAGTAAGCAATGGGCAGATTGGTCCCAAGCATCCTGCTCCTGTCTCCCCAGAGAGATCCCTGGGCAGGCAGATGAACCACCCAGCACAGGGATACAGGGAGCCAGGATTGTTGGCTGCAACAGGGTCCCCACTCCCAGGGAGCTGGGCTGGCATGGATGTGTCAAGCACCCCAGGAACAAGGGCCAGGGAAACCTGGGACAACTCTTCCCCGGGGATGGGAAAGGAGGGGGCCAGGTGTGCAAGATGGTGGTGCTCACACTGGCCCCAGCTCAGCAGAAGAGCCTCTTCCTGCCTGCCTGCAGCCTTTGGTGGAGCACAGTGGCTCCCTTCCCCCCGCAGCGTGTCTGGCTGCTGCTCGCTCTAATTTCCTGTGCATTGTCCCCATCACCACCGCCATCGTCCCCTGCACATCCCCCCATGCGCCACACAGCCAGGCTTCCCTGCCTCACCGCCCCACTAACATCCTTGTGTACATCCCAGCTCATTTCACTGATGCTCTGCTCTCCCCTCCACGGCTTCTTGCAGAGACCCACGTCCCACCCCAGGGTGCTAGCCCCACTGTACCCCTGAACAGGTGAGTGCAGACGGGTCAGATGGAGACAGCTGGGCTGACACAGGGACAGATGCTGTGGTTTACAGCCACGGCAGTTGTTATCCTAAGGTGCCTGCTGGCTGCTCTCACCCCCCAGACTAACGTCCCAGCCTGGTAGCGTGGCAGCATCCATGGGAAGGGCACCAAGGGGCTCCAACAGCAGGTATTGGGGAGCACCTCACAGCACCACAAGTGGAAAATCACCCAAATCACCCTGCTGGGTGTGGCTATCATGAGCTTGGGGCTGCAGTGTGCAAGGCCCTCTCAGCACGTGTCCTGCATGCACACAGTGTGTGAGCACCCCATGGCTTGTCATGGTGTGAGCACATCCTGACAGACACAGCCTGTGCCTCTGTGGAGCTGCGTGTGTGAGCACCGTGTTGCCTGTTTAGCTGTGCCCACCCTGTGGGCACACACGCATGTACAGGTGCCTGTGGGCAGGGTGCTGGCATGCCACAGGCCTGCCTGTGTCTGCCAGGGGGTGTGCACACGCTCAGGGCCAGGGCTGAGCCCGGCTGTGCTGGCAGGCAGGGTTTGCAGCCCCGGGGAGCTGCTGTGCCCAGCACCATTCGCAGTCTCGGCATGCTCGAGCTGGCTCCCTGCTGGAGCTTGTGTTCTGTACCTGCTGGTCACAGGGAGGGCGGTGGGAGCTGGCTTGCAGAGTTTGTGCTAATAATTACCCAGGTGGTGGTTACTAAATATGGGATGAGCTAATGACTCGGCAGTGGAGGTGCTTGACCTGAGCGCACACGTGTGTGCAAAGCTGCAGCCAGGCATGGGGGCTCTGAGACACTGCCAGGCAGAGCACACCACAGCTCTGGGGTGCACAAGGACATGCAAGTGCAGCACTGCATACCCATGACCATCACACCAGCCTCCCAGCCCCAGTGGGTTTGCTTGGCATCCCAACCTGCCCATGGTAAATGCAGATGTTGTCGTGCTGGCTGTGAGGACCGTGCAGCAGGGAGCCGCAAAGCAAGCCCAGTGCTCAGCCAGGCACCCTGCCACAGTGGGTCATCCAAAATGAAATCAAGGGGTACCTGGTGGCCACGTGGAAGCACCTTCATGGGAGACAATCACTGGGACTGGAGAGCTCTTGAATCCAGCAGGGAGAGAGGAACCAGGAGCAACAGGCAGAAGGTGTAGCCAGACATACTTGAATGAGAAATATGAGTTTTAGCAGGGCAGGTAATTAGCCACTCAAAAGCAACCCAAATGGCCCAGGGTCCTTTGGCTCCTGCTGTCTCTCAGCATGTCTCTCCTGGTGTCCACAGCCCCAGGCTCCATGCTGGGGCACCTGTAAATGTGCTCCACTGGGGTGACCTGGTAGCCCTGTGCCCTGCCAGTGCTGTCCCAGTCCCTGCCAGAGCTGCTTTCTGCATGCAGAGACACAGAGAGCTCTGTGCCCAGCCCTGCAGCTGCCTCGCGGGAGAAAGACAAGTCAGGGAAACCTTGTGGGCTAGGCATGATCCTGCCTCGGGCATCCACCAGCTACAAGATTTTGGGCAAGTCAGTGGCCTGAGATGGGGCCTTTCTCACAGTTTGGATTGGCTGACAGGGCACAGCCATTCCCGGGGTCCTTGAAAAGGGAGGTGGGTGATCTGCAGGATGATGGGACAGGGAGGGTGCTGAGCCCTCGGGATGCCGCCAGCTGTGGGACTATGGGGACTTCCCAGCTCCGTTCCCTTTCCCCCTCCCGTGCCAGCGCTTGGACTTCTCTGTGGTGCAAATCCCCACTGCACCCAGGCTGGGGCAAGCACCTGGCTCTGCTCACCCCTTGGCCGCAGCTGCCTTTACAGGAGGTGGGGATACCTCCTGGCGTTCCTCGAGTGCCACCGACCCCCCCCCGGCACCCACG